CCAGACTGTCTCTGGAGGGCTTGGAGTGTGACACATCCTGCCCAGACCAGGGATCTCACCCCCCTACCCGCCCCCGCCCCACCCCCCCACACCAGAAATGGTTTACTAGCAGACAGGTCATCTGGGGAGGAAGGGGAAGGCAAAACTGGATGAGTCAGAACATCCAGGACCTATAAACAGACTCAAGGCATGGGATGCTGACAGTTGGCCCTCAGACCCACCATCTCAGCCGGGCTCTGGTTCTCCCCAGTGTGTGTGTGTCTGTGTCTGTGTGTGTCTGTGTGTGTCTCACGGGCCCTAGACCAGGAGTCTTTGCAATGACTCTCAAACCTGTGTGTGTGTGTGTCTGTGTGTGTCTCAAGGGCCCTAGGCCAGGAGTCTTTACAATGACTCTCAAACCTGCCTATGCCAAGAAGAAGACACCACAAAGAACTCCATGCAAGTTCAGGGAGACTGAACAATGTTTCAGATCTGGTTTGAAGCACACAGGTACTTTTTCTTTCCCCCGCCAAACCTAAGTCTGGTCTCTGTCAGTATAAGTGGTCCATTAAATGCACAAACTTCAAGTGCTTTCACAGCTCCTAAGGTTAGGAAAAACAAAGTTCACTGACAATTCCCAGCCTTCCAAACAAACTTGATGATTGATTTTCAGATGGCAAATGTGTACGTGAGGTTCTCTGGCTCTCTACAGAGCGGATGGTGCAGGAGAGACACGCAAACTCGGTTGAAGCTGGCTAATGCCAGCGCACAACTCTTACCTCCTAAGGCCTCTCTCTGTATTCCACACACAGGTGGTAATGCCTAGGCTAGACAGAGAGATAAAGACAAAAAGCAACTATGTTTTTTTTTTTAAAGAAGTTTGATAAAACAACTCTGAATTTCAAGACATCAAAACATAACCAGGATATTCACTAGTACAGCAGATAGGGTACTTGCTTTGCACACAGCCCACCCAAATTAGATCTCCGGCACCCCAGATGGTCCTCCAATCCCCAGCTAGGAGTGATCCCTGAGTACAGAGTCAGGCAAGAGTTAGCCCTGAGCTAACTCCTGGTGTGGCCCTAAAAAAAAAAAAATTTTTTTTAAGTTTTTTTAACTTAAAAATGGAGACCAGGTCAAAAAAATGTTACAAATGAATATTCAACCAACCACACACTTATTTCAATGTTTTCCTAACTTTCTATTTTTAGACAGAACATTCCATTGATGAACTTAGCAGAAGAGTCCTTTTGCAAAACCTCAACAGACTGATGTAAACATTCTTTTCACAATGCATGGGGGTGATGAATGCTCTCCCACCCCACCCCATTTAATGAGATACTCCACAGGTCTTGGTCCCTTGTCCATTTGTAATAAAGTTTTTTGCGAATCCCTTAACCCCAGTTTGACTCAGTTTCTGAAATGAGGTAACAGTTCTATGTTCGAATTCAAAAGTCAGGATCTGGAGCCAGAGAGATAGTACAGCTAGTAAGGCTCCTGCCTTGTACACATCTAACCTGAGTTCCATTCCAGGCACCCCATATGGTCCCCCGAGCCCCACAAGGAGTGATCCCCGAGCACAACCTTGGAGTAAGCACTGAGAACTGCTGGGTGTGCCCCCACCCCACTCCCAGATGTGCCAATCAGATCAAATCCCAGCCCCATCACTTACTGGTTGTATAAACTTGGGGCCAAGACTTAAATTAAGCCTAGGCCCAGAGAGATAGTACAGTGGAGAGGGCACTTGCCTTGTACACAGCTGACCAAGTTCAATCCCTGGCATTCCATATGGTCCCTCAAGCCCCATCAAGAGTGATCATGAGCACAGAGCCAGCAGTCAGCCCTGAGCACATCCGAGGTGGCCATCCACAAAAAAATAAAGCCTGTCCTCCTGTCTCCTCATCTATGGCAGGGGAATGGGTAATTTCTGTGGTACTGACACTGGAGGGACACATGACGGAGACAGAGCACCCATACAGAGGATAAAGCACATGTCTTCCTTGTACACAGCCAACCCAGGTTTGTAAACCCAACACCCCATACGATCCCCAAGCCCTGACAGGAGTCATCCCTTTGTGCAGAGCCAGGAGAAAGTCCTAACTACAGCTGGGTGTGACCCAAAAAATCCAAAACAACAACAACAACAAAAAAAGCCTCAGGTAACAAATGCTTTTGAAGTTCGAGAGTAGAGTTAGAAGGACCCATATACTGGGAGAATTGTTTGGCAAAGACATGACAGAAGTGTTTCCAGCCAGACATGGAGCAGCAAGTCTAGCAATGGAAGAGGTGTTCTAGTTCAATTCGTCATATCCTCCCCAAACCCAAATCCAACCCTCTAATTACTCCAAGATGTAGGGGTAAAAAGACCTCACGTCACAAAATGACAACAACCCGAGCCTAGACACCCACTGATCGCTGAAGTACCAGGAACAGGAAGAACCACTGCCCATTGCAGGCAAAATATGTGCCTGGCCCACTGAGTTGTCTCTCCAGCCCTTTGGAAACATAAATACAGTTAGTTCCCAGGAGGATGATGATGATAATGTCATGCACAGAAATGTCTTGACACTTTTAGTCCACAAACACTGCTGCTCCTAATGAAACAAAGGAAAAGAAAAGTCTACTTGTCATTTTACATTCAGAAAAAGCCAAGTCACTAAAATAAAGCAGAAGCCCAAAGACCTTTCATCTGGTCAGAGTCTTACCAGAATCCCAACTCAGGAAATCCATACCACACTAATATTATGAAGGAAAGTTATATAAAGGAGCAACAATAAATCTACATACGATTTCTGCAGGACTAGGCTAACTCAAGGAACTCAGAAAACTCTTGCCAGTCTGGAGCACAGGCCAGGCATGTGGGTGCTAGGTTTGATTCCTGGCTCCACATGGTTCCCGAGCATCAAGATGGTGGCCCTGGTAGCCTGACAAGACAGGTCAAGTACTGCTGGCAGTGGCCTCGGGCACCACTTGGGGGACCAAAGGTATTTAAAAAAGAAAGCAAGAGAGAAAGAGAGAGAAAAAGAGGAAGGAAGGTAGGTAGGAAGGAAGGAAGGAAGGAAGGAAGAAGGAAGGTTGGTTCAGCAAAAAGATGGGTCATTTTTCAAGACTGCTCACAGCACAGTAAAGATGCTCACTTGCCAGTCTGACATCTTTCCTCCCCTCAAGCTTGGGAGCAAACTCCTGCTGGGAGAGATCTCCACAGCTCCCTCTGCAGTGTTCAAGGTTCAGGGAAGCAAAAGTCTGCCCACAAACCACAAACCAAGTGCCTGAGCACTGCAGCCCAAAGGATAATCCAAACTTGTAAAGTCAGGGGCTTTTGAAGGCAGCCTCATGAGAGGCACCTTCGAGTCCTTTGTGTTTTACCTTTAGTGTCCAGTATCTCATCAGACACTTATAAAACAGTGAACTGGGAAGGATGACTAACAATATTAAAACCAAAGAAATAGATTTGTAAAAAATGTACAAGTGGGACTGAATCGAAGGTGAGCAGATCTTGGTAGCTTTTCCAAACCCAATCACTAGAACAAGGCCCATTTTGGAAACAGACAGTCTTCAAAACATAGAAGGACCCAGGAGCTCGCTAGAGACGCCAGAGCATGCACAGAGGAGCCCTGGGTCCGAGACCCTGGTCAGATCCCGAGTTCCAGGGTGTGGTTCCAAAAAAAATTAATATGGATGAAAACTATCTGCAAACTCCATCACTGCAGTGCAAGCTTCGGTGTATGATTTTGTCAGCATCATCCATCACCCTGTATCTAGAGCTACAAGCTGCAGAGGTTTTCTGCCAAATCTCTATGAAGTGTGTGGAGGGGGGGCCTCAAATTCATCTTTTCAGTCATCAGTCCCCATTCTGATCCCTTCTTTTCATTTTCCGGAGGTGCAAAGAATGCCTAGTTCTCATCTTTTCCCCGTGCATTTTCTCGTGTGAACGTTAAAAATAAACGAGGGGGTCTGAACATCTTCCTAGATGGGGGGTGGGGGGGGAATAAATTGCCAACTGTTGGGAGCCAGGCCGAGTGCGTCAATTCTCACGCTGAGGTCCTGCTGCACGGCCTCGGGAAGATCGCTCCACCTCCGGGTCTCGGGGCTGCCCCCTTGACTCGGCTCTTAAACCCCGACTGGGCGGAGGAAGGCGCTCCAAAGGCCCCCGCGGGGTTTCCGCGGAGGCCGCCCCACCCCCACCCACCCCGCCCGGCCACCGGGCCAACTTCAGGTTGCGAACAAAAACCTGTTGGCACGAATTCCTCCAGGAAGGGCCGGCCTCTCCGGGCGGGCGCGCCCGCGGGTCGGGGCGGGAGGGTCTCGGCCGCCCCCGGAACAAAGGCAGCCGCAGCCTGCCTCTCTGCCCGAGCCCGCCGCGCCGCCCGCCCCGCCGAGCGCGGGGAGCGCGGGGAGCGCGGGGAGCGCGGGGAGCACGGAGAGCACGGGGAGCACGGGGAGCACGAAGAGCGTGGGGAACACCGGGAGCGCGGGGAGGGAGCACGGGGCGCGGGGGGGGGGGGGCACCGGGAGCGCGGGGAAGGAGCGCGAGGAGCAGGAGGAGCGCGGGGAGCACCGGGTGCGCGGGGTGCACGGGGAGCGCGGGGCGCACCGGGAGCACGAGGAGCACGAGGATACGGGGAGCGCGGGGCGCACCGGGAGCGCGGCTCCCGCACGCCGGACCGTCCGATGCCGGCGGGTGCCCGGGCCGCGGCCGGAGGGAGGCCAGGCGGTGTGCGGGGCCGGACGCCGGCCGGGCGGGGGTGCGGGTGGGTGGGGGGAAGTGCTCGGGCAGGACAGGCGGGACCGCCCCAGCCCGCGGGGCTCTCGGAGCCCCCAACGCCAGGCGACGAGGAGAGTCCGCGGCGGGGCTCCGCGTCCCCGCCGCGCGAGGTCCAGCCGCGAGGCCGCCGGCCCGACCAGTCCGGGGTCCCGCCGCGACGGGACCTAACGGGGGCGGCGGGTGCACGCTCGGGCGGGGCGGGGTGCCCCGGGGTGGACCCCCGCGCGCGTGCCCGAGAGGGGAAGGGTTCGCTCACCTCCGTTCCTCCCGGCCGGCCTGCGTGCACGTCCGCGGACGCCGGCGGCGCCGGAGACGTGGGGGCGACCAGAACCCGCGGAGCCGCCGCCGCGTCCAGCTCCGTTTGACACCCACACACCAGCCAACATGGCGGCCGGGAGGGGGCGCGCCGGCTGCGTGCGCGCGCGCGCCGCAGGCCCCGCCCCCAGGCCGCAGGCCCCGCCCCCGCAGGACCGCGAGGCCCCGCCCCCGGTCGCGAGACCCACGGGGGGCTGCGGAGCACCCCCGGAACAGCGCCTCAGCCCCAACCTCTCACATCCCACGCGCGCTCCCCGCGTCCCCCAGCCGCCACACAAACCGTGTCAAATTCGAGCCCGAACCCACGTCCTTGACAACCTCCACTCAGACCAGCACACAGACACACACACACCCCAACTCCGCGCACCGCAGCCCTGCCGCCAAGCTCGCGCTCGAGGACCCCGCTCCCCTCGGAGCAGGAGCCTGCACGGGGCGAGGGGCCTGCCGGGTGATAAATCCCTGATGCCCACTACAGATGTCTGCACTGTTTTCTAGCGTCATACATCAATAAGACATGCCCCCCAAATTATCTTGAGAAGAGGCCTTACTAGACGCCAAAGGGGTCCGGACACAAAAAGTGCAGCCCTGGGCCGGAGAGATAGTCAAGCGGGTGGGGCGTTTGCCTTGCACGTGGTCCACCCGGTTCGATCTCTACAGCCCATATGGTCCGCCTTAGCCCCACCGGGAGTCCTGCCCGAGCACACAGCCAGGAGTAATGCATTGCCGGGTGTAGCTTAAAAAAAAAATAAATAAACAGCACAGCCCTTTGTGTCCCTGTCCCGGGGCTTTTCATCCAGCCTTAAACTCTCACCCCTGCAACAGGAAAGGTCGTTTTCCTTTGGTTCAGCCTTACCACCATGGTGCAGGGGACAGGATGAGAGCACATAGCTCTCAAGATGAGAACACATAGCACTTAGGATCAGCCTCTGATCCTAAGTGCTCTGGGGCCAGAGCTATAGTGCGGTGGGTAAGCTTCCCTGAGCTCCACCAGGAATGATTCCTGAGCAGAGCCAGGAGTAACCCCTGAACAGCTCTGGGAGTGACCTCAGTAACAAATTAGATATTCTGAGCCTGCACAGCTAACCAACCTGCCCCTTCCAGGGCAGGAGCAGCAAAGACCCTGGACAGTCAGTCTGAGGGCTTCATCAGGTGGTCAGAGGGCACCATACCTGTCTGTGCCGAAGACACCCCAATGATATCACTTCTCTACCAAGCTTTCCTTTCAGAGAAGTTGTGTCCAGAAGTGCCCGCTCAACCCTCATTCACAAGGAGCAAGTCTCTGTGCTTGCCAGAGCCCTGAAGTGTGCTTCCGGGGAGGCAGCCAGGGCGAACGGGAGGGATGGTTCATTCACAATCCCATGTTGCTTTTGAACGTTGAGATGGTCAATACAGAGAGTTCTAGATGCTAGAAACCCACCTCCCAAATTTGCAGCCTCTTGGGCTAGAGTGATAGTACGACAGCTAGGGTGCTTGCCTTGCATGCAGACAACGAGCTTGATCCTCAGCACCCCACATGGTCCCCTGAACAGAATCAGGGGTGATCCCTGAGTGCAGAGTAAAGAGTAAACCTCATCAAGTATGGCCAAAAAAACAAAGAAAAGAAAAGAAAAAAATCCATTCTGTATCTCGGGGAGGTGTTTAGACTCAAGGACTCTTACTGGCTTTGTACTCAAGAGTGAGCCCTGGTGGTTCTCAGGAAAATATATGTGGTGCCAGTGATCAAACTGGGGTCATGGGATGCAAGGCAAACATCTTAACCCCAGTACTATCTCTCTGACTCCAGAAATCCATTTTTATTTGTGGTTCACCTGTACCCCGAACCTGTCCAACACTGCTCCTCAGCTTCTGTACTGGCCAGGCCTTGTGAGCAATAGGGCATAAAGTGCCAGCCCCTACTTACAAGATATTGGCAAGTTCAGATGAAGTATGTCTTTATGGATGCCTGGTGTAGGCTGAGTGCTTTACACAAAGTGACTTTTTTTTGGTTTTTGGGGGGCCACACCCAGTGGTGCTTAGGGCTTACTCCTGACTTTGTGCTCAGGGATTACTCCTGGCAGCCTCAAGGGACCACATGGGATCTTGGGTCAGCCACGTGCAAGGCAAGCACCCTATCCACTGTACTATCTCTCTAGTCCCTAGAAGAGCTGATTTTGAAGACATAATTAAATTGAATGAATTAATTAAAATAGTCTGGAGCGATAGCACAGCAGTAGGGCATTTGCCTTGCGTGCAGCCAGCCCGGCCGAGCCAGGTTCGATTCCTCCGCCCCTCTCGGAGAGCCCAGCAAGCTACCGAGAGTATCTCACCCGCACGGCAAAGCCTGGCAAGCTACCCATGACTTATTCAATATGCTAAACACAGTAACAACAAGTCTCAAAATGGAGATATTACTGGGCCCGCTCGAGCAAATCTATGAACAACGGGAGGACAGTGACACAGTGACAGTGTATATGCTTACACCACACCATGAACTGTGCTACCACAGTCCTACAATTCTTTTTGGGGGGAGGAGGAGGTGTAACTATTTTTTCTTCTTGTTGTTGTTTTTTGTTTGTTTGTTTTTCAGGGGCATGCCACACCCAGTGACACTCAGGGGTTACTCCTGTCTCTGTACTCAGCAATTACTACTAGCAGAGTGCTTGGGCAACCATATGGAATACCAAGGCTCTAACCTGGGTCAGCCATGTGCAAGGCAAATGCCCTGCCTCTCTGACCTGAGAGAGGTACAACTATTATTTTTTGTTTTGTTTTGTTTTGTTTTGATCTATTTTGTTTTGGAGGGTGCCCCACCCAGCGATGCTCAGGGGTTACTCCTGGCTGTGCATTCAGGAATCACTCCCAGTGGGGCTTGGGGGAACATATGGAATGTCGGGTATTAAACCTGAGCTGGCTATGTGCAAGACAAACTGTTATCTCTCTAACCATGGAGGTGTAACCATTCTTTATTGACCCATTTTACAAACCAGAGAATGAGGTCGAGAGTGTTTTGGTCACCCAGAGTGATTGTCCTACGTGCACAGTCCATTCCCTTCCCCACCCAGCCTAACAAGTCTCTGATAAGCCTGAGGAGACTCAAGCTTGAGAAAGAGATCTGGACACAGATAAGAGGGTGGTGAGGTAAGGGTTAGCCCAGGAAGCCAGGAAGCCTGGGCCAGGCTAGGGAATCCAGGCAGGCCTCCTGAGGGTAGGGAACCAGCGGGGGACATTCTTCTTGAGCCCCCACTCTTTTCTTGCTCCTGTGAAGTCAGCCTCCTGACAAACCCTTGTCTTCAGCAGCTCAGCTCACATTTTACAGATGAAGACATAGGCAGCATGTGACAGTGTGGGCCAGGCGGCTTCCTGTGCGAGCATGTGCAGGCTTTGCTCCAGCCCAGAGCAGTACTATGACCTGGGTACTCAGCTCTCCTTTCTCAGATCTGAAGGTCGGTTCTTGAAGCAAGCCTGGGGGGAGCGGGACTTTAGGAGCAGAAAGAGATGGCTATCTCTGGGGTTCAGGAAAGAAGGTGCCTGGGGGTGGAGGTGGGAGGGTGATAAGGGGGGTATAGCAAGGGGTGCCCGTCCATCACTCACGAAGAGTTCTGCAGTCTCAATTCAAAGGTTTGAAGTCTCGGCTAGAGCCATAGCACAGCGGGTAGGGCATTTCCCTTGCATGCAGCCAACCCAAGTTCGATTCCCAGCATCCCATATGGTCCCCCAACCACCACCAGGAGTAATTCCTGAATGCAGAGCCAGGAGTAACCCCTGAGCATCGCTGGGTATGACCCAAAAAGCAAAAAAAAAAAAAAAGTTTGAAGTCTCTATTCAATGGTCCTGTAGAAAAGGTGAGCTGGAGCCAGAAAAGCCTGACTTCTTATTTATCTGCATGGGTTTAGGGATCACACTCAGTGGCATTCAGGAGGTACTGACTGAGCTCAAGGCTCAAGGGCTGCTCCCAGGACCATCCAGTGCCAGGGACCAAATGCAAGTCACCCACATGGGGAAGTCTGTGTTTCGGTCTCTTGAGATATCTCTCTAGTCCCAAAACACCTAATTTCTTGCCTACTGATATGTTGCTTGCCCTTGCTTATGTCACTTCTCTCTTTGGGTCTCTGTCTCCTTGTGTGAAGGGAGACTAGTTATAACTCCACCTCATGAGGGTTCTGATGAAAAGGTAAAGAAGAACATGCTTTGGAAAATATAAAACCTTAGATGAGTTTTATATTGACTCTAATTAAGATAGATAAAGCCGAAAGAGGAAGGCCTATAGGGGATGCCTCGCAAGGTGTTTATTGGGAAATACTAGAGAAGTTGTCCTGTTGCCAATCCAAAGCCTGGACCCCTCTTGGAGATGCAAAACTGAGTCATGATAAGATTAACTGGCTCCACCCATAGAAGGGTGGGCCCCTCTGAAAAGGAGGAACTCCTAGAAGAACAAAAGGTGTTGATAAGAAGAACCAGAGAGAAGGTCACCAAAAACTCAAAGCTCTTCCCCCCATGACCCTAGCAACAGACACTTATCTACATAGAAAGCCCCAAGCAAGGGACAGTTTGGAAAATCAACTCTATAATATCATCTTTGCAAAGACAAGCATCATGCAACCCCAATCTAGGTCACCTGCCTCTCCTTTTAGGATATGTAATTCCTTGCTCGAGCGGGCCCAGTAACGTCTCCATTGGAGACTTTGTTGTTACTGTGTTTGGCATATCGAATACTCTCGGTAGCTTGCCGGGCTCGTCTGCCTTGCACGCAGCCAACATGGCCGACCCGATGTAATTCCTTAAAAAAAAACAAAAAACCTTTATGGGGTACCCTAAAAAGTCAGGTGTTATAAATATAGTAGGAGCTGATACTGCAGATAAAAATGTGTTAGGGTGAACTGGAGGGACAGAATAGTGGATAAGGTGCTTGCCTTACATGCAGCCAAGCAAGACTGGGTCCTTAGCACCACAGATGGTTCCTTGAGCCCCGTCAGGAATGATCCCTGAGTGCAGAGCCAGGACTAAGCTCTAAACTGGGTGTGGCCAAGAGCCAGGACTAAGCCCTGAACTGGGTATGGCCCAGAAGTCAAGAAAAGAAAAAGCCTAAGT